GGCCCGGGGGGAAGCACCGCCTCCCCTTTGGCCACGCCCCCGGGCACGCCCCCGCCGCCCCTGCGTCCCCCGGAACCCCGGTGTGTGGTGTGGCTGTCGCTATAGACGGCTATATACGTCTGTATGTACAAACACGCACACACACCGGGTACTCCCCAGGCTAAGGGGATATAGTGGTCTGTTAGATGTGTAGGGTATGGATGCGGATGTATGCACGCTCTATGTGTACTAGCTACGCTGGTGTACACGTGCACTAGATGAATGCTCCATAGGTACATATATATGTATGTACATCTCTCACACACACACGCTTTCTCAGCATAGATACAGATATATATGGTATACCTTCATATATGGATATATACTGCTAATATACTGGACATACTAGGTATTACATAATAGAATAGAATAGAATCATAGAATGGTTTGGGTTGGAAGGGACCTTAAAGACCATCCAGTCCCACCCCCTGCCCTGGGCAGAGACACCTCCTACCAGACCAGGTCACTCAAAGCTCCATCCAGCCTGGCCTTGAACACCCACAGCTTCTCTGGGCAACCTGGGCCAGTGCCTCACCACGCTCACAATAAAGAATTTCTTCCTAGTATCTAATCCAAATCTCCTCTTGTTCAGTTTAAAACTATTCCCCCTTATCCTATTGCTCCACTCCCTGATTAAGGTCCCTCCCCATCTCTCCTGGAGCCCCTTTAGGGACTGGAAGGGGCTCTAAGGTCTCCCCGGAGCCTTCTCTTCTCCAGGCTGAACAACCCCAACTCTCTCAGCCTGTCCTCACAGCAGAGGTGGCTCCAGCCCTCTGATCATCTTTGTGGCCTCCTCTAGACCTGCTCCGACAGGTCCATGTCCTTGTTATGTTGGGGGCCCAGAGCTGGATGTGGAGTGGAGTGGAATGGAATGGAATAGAATAGAATAGAGGTATCATATATACGTACTAGATACACAGTGTCTATAGGCACATGTCTTTATCTAGAGTACAATACCTCACCTCTGCACACAGGCAGTGTCTGGACACACCAAGCTGCCCATCGGGGCAGGAGGGCTGCTGGCTCACACACCGGAGGAGGCAGGGACAGGATCCATGCTGCCACGGGATGGCACCTTGTACTCTGACCCAGGCACGCTGGCACATAGGCTGGCAGCACCACCATTTTCCTGGCTGGTGCCATATGGAAACCCAGGCACCAAGCACAGGGCAGGAAAGGGCCGTCTGTGCCGCTGCCGCCTGCGGTGCTCCCATTTCCCTTCTGCCAACCCTGCGGGAGGGAAAGGTGCCAGGACTGCCAGCGCCCAGGGCCACCCTGGCATCACCCACCATCCTCTGCTGGAGGGAAACAGCGTGGGCAGCTCCACACGCTGCCCTCCCTCGCCATTGGCATGCCAGGATCTGCCTCTGAGATGCTGGCAGAGCTGCTTATAAAAAAAATCAAAAAAACAAAAAACAAAAAAAAAAAACACACAAAAAAAACAACCCTAAAAACAAAGAAAGAACAAAACTAGCTCAAAACTGCAGCAGCACAGAGAAAAAAAAAAAAAAAAAAAAAAACACACAAAAAAAACCAACCTAAAAACAAAGAAAGAACAAAACTAGCTCAAAACTGCAGCAGCACAGAGAAAAAAAAAAAAAAAGAGAATATAAGCTTCTCCACCAGAAGCATTTTGGCAGTAAAGTGCTCCTGGAGGATCTCAGGTGCCCCTAGCAGTGCAGCCAGCAGCACCTCTGCCCTGGCAGTGCCAGCAGACAGCACTCACCTCTGCAGGGCAGTAAAATATCCCCTGTGAGAGCCTGCTGAGCCCCGGTGAGCGCTGCGTGGGGATTTCCAGGCCTCCAGGCAGGCTCCAGACAGCAAAACCCTTGCACACCCTCGCTCCCCACCCCTGCGTCGCTGCCTGCCAGCCGAACACCGGCCGGCAAACACCCGACGTCATCTTGGTGTGTGCCCCTACGAGCTAAGCCCTTTGGGAAGAGGATGTTTCTGATGTGTTCATTTTAAAGCTATTCCTCTTATTCCAAAAGCTTACCCATCCCCAGCCCAGACCTCAGCATCACCCTCCTCCCCTTGTGCCAACCCCAAAGTGGCTCCTGGGCGCAGGGTTGGGAAGGGGTTACCCTTTGTGTGTCCGCCCAGGGCATACAGCAGAAAAAAAGATAAGCTCTATAAACAAGCATAAGTATATAAGTAAACATAGTCTCAAAATGCTGTTCCAGGTTCTTTTGAAGTGCTCGGCTCCCACATCCTCCCAGGCTGGGTATGAATGTGCTGGATGTGGCATCAGGAGCACCCCCTGGCACTGCCCCTCTCCCCTGAGCATCCAGCCACAGCCACATCCTGCCAGCCCCGTGCTGCCAAACAATGCTGGAAAAATCCGTATCCCCAGGAAAATACATGTGCAGAGCTCAAGGGAACAAACTATAAGAGGCAGAGAGGAAGAGACCAGCAAAGTCACGGAAGGAAATCCCCTTGCAAGGAACACCCTGCCAACCAGACCAGGCACCAGCAACTCCAGCCTGCAACAAACTGAAGGAAAAAGTTCATGGAACAGCGACAAGGGTTTGAAAGTGAAAATAAGAGTCCGTAGTAAGACACAATGGAGAGTAAATGCAAAAAAAAAAAAAAAAAAAAGCAAAGCAGAAGAGAAATGAGAAACAGGAGATGGCTCTGTGCTGCAGAGGGCTTGGGCTGGTGGTTTTGTCTTTTCTGGCCACATCCCCTGACTGTCCCTCACAGCTTCCTTATGGTGGCTCTCCTGAACCATTATTCTCCCAATGTTTCCCAGACATTCTCACACTGAGGTGAAGAAATATATTCATGCAACAAACATCCCGATAACTATTGATGAATTATCTCGGGGCAGGCTCAACCAGATGCACATTGTTTGTAGAGTCGCACAGCAGCTGCATTGCTTGGTCCAAAATACTCAAATTAAATCTTTTCCTTTGAGGCTCTGATTTACCACCAGCACATACTGCTCCAGTTTTTGCATCAGCAACACTTCACCAGTTTAAACTGGAGCCATGAAGGTGTGA